AAGTAATCTACAATATTTTTATTCTTTATATAATAGGAATAATATGATGAATATGTTGTCTAGATATTAATAAGTTTGGTGTAATTAAAAAAGCGACATATTATTAGTGAGAATTTCTTTCATTATACTTACGATGATTGTAAAATGATAATGTCAGCTAATTCTAATTAGGATGGGATTTTGCGCAAAAAAAAAATAATAATGTCTTCCTGAATTTTATTAACCTATCTATTTATTTTTAAATGTAATTTATTAGAAATGAACTAGTTTCATTAAAAGACATGGGGTTCTTGCGAGGAAAACTTGAAGAAGAATTAAATTGGAAAACTGTAGCATTAAATAATATAACGCTTTTGAAAAATAAAATCAAGGTAATCAATATATTAATTTTGTCTCAGAAATTTTAGTCACGTATTTTTTGAATTTTCTCATAAAACTAAATATTTTTCAATTAAAAGAAAGAACGCCAGCACATGAACATATTCTTACAATAATAAGTAATATTGATATTAATAAGATATTAAACAATGATCCATTATGTATTGGAGTAATAGACCTTAATTCAGAAAAATATAATATACCAGAAAGTAATTACGAATCCTTCGTTATATGTATATCTTTATTTTTTTTCTTGATAGTATCAGCGACTGGTGTTATATTTCCATATAATAATTACTTCTTATATTTATAGGAAAAGGCTAATATAAGAAATTTAAGCAAAGATGCAGGAGTAAAGAAATTTGCAATAATTTTATATCAAAGAGAAACATAGTCTATAAATTATAAAATTTGTTTTGCCTTCAAAAGATATAGTAATGCATGATCAATAGATTGAAGATGATCATATTAAGGAACGTGTAGCTAGTGGAATTACTATATTCTTTTACAGGAGATTAGGCTGAACGTACTTCAAAGAGTTTTTGGAGGATCTGAGAATACACTAGTAGAAGTTACTAGGGCTGAACGTCAAAGTAAAGCCAGTAAAAACTGCAAAGTTCAGCAAAAAAATGGATTAAGAGGAGATAAACCAGATTTCATGTTTCATGCTTACCTTCGTCAAAAGTGAGAGGAGATTATTTTCTTTGAAAGTGAAAAATGGGATGCTGATGAAGACAAAATCTGCCATGATCATAATAAATTAGTGCAACTCTATTTGGATGGGTCTAAAGAGCTTGTAAAGAAATGTACGAAAGGAACCTTCTATTAAAATTATATAGGATTCAGTGTTAATATCGCAGGTAAATATATTTCAATATCAATGGTTTGATAATAGAAAAAGAAATAAGATACTATTTTCCAGTCATTAAAGCAAAAATACCCCTTGGTAAAGACTCAGTTTAGGAAGTTGAAGAGTTTGTTCATGTTCTATTAGTTTTGCGAGTAAGTATTTTCCTTATTTCTAAATATATACTTAGCCATATAATAATACTGATACAAAAATCTCTAATTTCAGAATGGGGTTATCATAAATTTACAGAGTATTGTAAATAGTTTTCAAAAAAGATCAAGAAAAACAAGTGATATAAGTTCTCCTCCACGTGAAGCTAGAAGATTAAGCAAGAAAAATAGTGCGAATTTCTAAAAATATTAATTATGCTAACATATCATATTTGTATTTTATTTTTTATATATCAATAAAGTGACCCTGGTGGCTGATTATTTATACATATTCATCTGTATTTTTTTTCGTGTGGGATATTGATATATAAAACATAAATAATACTATAATATACAAACATTGCAATCTGAAATAGATGACCGATTCATTAAAATGATGCATTGCTAAGCTTGAGGTCGAGAATGATAAAATTAGTGCTGAGAATGTTGAGCTTAAGGTTAGAGTTACAAAATTGGAAAATAAGCAATTGCAAAATGAATTAATAAAAAATTTAATATCTGTATCATGTGATATAAAAACTGTCAATGATCAAAGTCACATGATTTTTTTTGCTAACCAATGATCATAATGTCATATGAAATTCTTGATCAAAGCTAATATTTCTAGCTGATCTGCTAGATGTGTCACAAAACTGACGTGTGAATTTATTCTTTGAATTCTCTTTTCTGAATACGCAGAATTCTTTAATTCTCAGAACTTTTTATTATCTATAAGAAATAACTAGCATACTAATACCATCTTTTCACATATATTACTTGAAATAACTTAACCAACTTCCTCAATCTATCAAAATAAATATATAACGATGCCTTACATCTTGAAAATATCTATTATTACTGGAACAGGCAAGTAGTATTCATACTAAAGTGGAAGATTTGTTAAATAAAGCAGTTGAAAATTATATTAAAAAAAAAGAGCATCAGAAGATAAAGCCTATTACTAGTGATTCTGAAACTTCGTTAAGTCAAGAAAATGAGAAGTTGCGTATATTAAAGCAGGTATTAGAAAGAAAAATTAAAGAGCTTCTCGATTTGCAAGAGCAGTATAAGTCTCGTGAGGTAGCTATAACTAGGATTTCGCAATTCGATTTGACATTTGAATATTTGATTTGATTTGATCAAATTCAAATCAAGTATTCAAATATTTGATTTAATTTGAATCAATAGTAAAGTCATCTCCAAAGCTTCAGGAGTATTTCTTACTAAGAAAATTATAGTAAAAAGCATCTTCGCAGCTTTAAAAATGCCTTTTTTACTAAGAAAACTATAGCAAAAAGCACATCCGCGACTTTAAAAATGCCTTTTTTACTAAGAAAACCATAGTAAAAAGCACCTTCGCAGCTTTGAAAATACTATTTTACTAAGAAAACTATAGTAAAAAGTGCTTCCACAGCTTCGGAAATGCCTTTTTTACTAAGAAAACCATAGTAAAAAGTGCCTCTGCAGCTTCAGAAATGCCTTTTTACTAAGAAAAACATAGTAAAAATGCTTTCACAGCTTTGATGACATTATTTTACTTAGAAAATATAGTAAAAAATGTCTCTGCAGCTTTGAAGATGCTATTTTACTAAGAAAACATAGTAAAAAATCCCTTCGCAGCTTCAGAGACGTTATTTTACTAATAAAATTGTTATGAAGCCGAAATGGCAGTTATTACTAAGTTTCCTTATTAAAACCGAAGCTGCGATAGTGGTTATTACTAAGTTTTCTTAGTAAACTGAAACCGTGATAGCGTTTATTACTAAATTTTTTAGTAAAACTGAGATTGAGGAGTTATTTTACTAAGTTTAATAGTAAAAATTTATCTGTTACTAAACTTACTTTGTAAAAGTTATTTTTGAAATTTTTTTAGTGCAATTATTAATAATTTTCTTAATTAAACCTTTATAATATCTTTATTTTAATATATCATTGTAAAAATTAAAATATTTTTTTATATTCGATTCAATTCAATTCAATTTGATCAAATATTTGATTTGATTTGATTTGATTTGACAAATATTTGATTCAATTTGATTCAATTCGATCAAATTCAAATTGATTCAAATTGATTTGATCAAATATTTGAGTTCAATTCGATTCGATTCGATTCGATTTGAAAAAATCAAATCAAATTCAAATTGCTTAAATATTTGATTCGATTCGATTTTGAGGAACCCTACAAACTAATATTAAAGATAAAGATTTTATTTTAAAGGTTTTTTCTTTATTAGGTAATAGATATTTATTTGTAATAATTTTATAGAATACCTTTAATTTGAAGATCAATAGCAATAATTTTGATATAATAAAATTATTAAACTCTTATTTAATTGAAAAATTACAAGTATTATAACACATGCTAATTAGAATTTTGATTTTTTAATTTTATATTAAGAAAAAAGTCAATTTTTTAATATCAATAATTACATTATCATTATCTTTATAGTTTATTAGATATTTGAATATTTATTTATAAATAAAAAAATTTAATATTTGAAACTAAGTAATATTGAAAAGGAATCTTTGAAAGAACCTTACCCTTCAAAGAGATGTATTATAATATGGTATTCTTTGGTAAATTTTGCAAAATCTACCAAGAACTGCCTCTACAATTATTTTATTCTCAGCTATAATAAATTCTTATAAAAAATAATCAGTTTAATATGATTGGATGTGTGATTCTAAATCTACAGTATTAAAATAAAACGAATATATTTTATTAGAAATATAAAAATATGATTATATATTTTCTTTTATTCAGATTAATATTACCTTTAAATCAATGAAAATAAAATGTTTAATTTAAGTATCTTGATTTGTTGTTTTATATTAAAAGTTTATTTATAATCTAATATTTGGCTATATTATTTTTCTCAAATTTTCTTTGCTAATCTTTTCTTTATAAAAGAAGTTAGATTATATTTTTATTAGTTATAATCTTTTAATTATTGAATTATTTTTATCAAATTTTTTTGATATAGTCTGACAAAAATATGAAAATATTGTAAAATCATAAAGAATTCAAAAAATATATAAGATATTGTTTTAAATCAAGTATATGATTTTCTACGAAATATAACTGATAGCAGAAAAAGATGATGAATTCTTTCGCCTATGATTACATTAAAGTATTTATACTTTTCTTTGTAATAATTAACTTAAAAAAAATATTTTTTGCAAACATTATTTATTTGTTAACTTTTATATTAAAAGGTTTGCTAAAAAAACAAAATAATTAAGGAGAATCACAAATAAAAAAATTATGATGTTTCTTATAAAAAAAAAATATTACACTTACAGAAAACTCACCAAACATTTAATTATTATCAATATGTATACTTTTAAATACTAAAATATTTATTTTCTATCTCTAAGCAAAAAGTTATCATATTATTTACTTTCTTATTTGATCTTTAGTATGTGAAGAAAATAACTCCTAATTGTATAATAATGATACAATGCATTTAATTTTATAATTATTATTCAGAAATTTCCTTAGATTTTCTTATACCTTCAATTGCCTTTATAAGTGCTCTAGTATTTTCATTGTTATTCTCTTTTACCAATGACATTGCCTCTATAATTGCTTTAGTATTTTCATTATTATTTTCTTTTACTGATTACATTGCTTCTATAATTGCTCTAGTATTTTCATTGTTATTCTCTTTTACTGATGACATTTCTTTTATAAGTGCTTTTGTATTTTCATTCATAGTTGATGTTATATTAGAAATAGCCTTCAGCATAAGTTGGTGTTCTGCTGATCGCAATCTTTTCTCTTCTAACTCTGTAGTAAATAATTTGGTCCAGGATAATCTCTAGCATCAAGTTTCAATAAAATTTCTGTTTTCCATATATTTTTCTTCACTTGAACCCATGTATTTGAATTAAAATACAAATGAACATGCGCATGGCACTCTTGTGCATATTTATTTTGTGACTGTCCAGTTTCCCATGCCCCATAGTTAATTGCTATGGAATGAAAGTTTAAAGTCTGTTGTTTATTCAACAACTCTTTCCAAAATGTCTCTTGTTGTACTAAGGTTTCATTATTATAATGTCCACAGTTCTTTGCTTGAAAATTAGGATGTGGAATCAACAGTAATTCTCTAAATGGTTCCCTTCGTAACATTACAACATACTTATCATTGCTAAGTTCATCTATAACAAGTTTTGTAGTAAAATAAAAGTTACATTTAGATGTTCTTCCATCTCGAGTTATGACTTTACCATCACAATATATTTTAGGATGATCTTTCTCTATAAATCAAAATTAAGTTGGTGAGGCTCAGATGATTGGTAAACAAATTTTTTTTTTTACATTTATACTCACCACAATTCGACCCATTTCTACAAGTAGAAGCGTATGGACAAATAATAAATGCTTTGTCTTTTACTGTCTCTTTATAATCGATAATAAACGGAGCTTCTTCCTCGGGTGAAATGTTTAAGCGTGTAGTTGTAACATATTGTCTGGCAATGTTAACCGCTTCAGCAAAATCGGTCACAGTTTGGAGATAAACATCGAACCATAATGAGGGATCCAGGCAAAGTTTAAAACTTGCTTTTTCTTCTGATAAGGTAATTACCAAACGAAATGACTGCTTTAACTTGGGACTTAAACAATTCAAAAGAAGTTCAGAAGCTTGAACAAGGTTAGAAGGATCAAGATTAGTCTCTAATTTAAAATATGGCTCCTTCAAATTTTTTGGGGTTTGTAGTGTATTTTGCATTATAATGTTAGAAGGTTGGAATTGTTTAAGAGAGCTTTTGAGAGAGATTTGATGTATATATATACGTTCTGAATACATTGTGATTAATAATAAAATAGACTCTTTACAGACTCTTGTGGTTTGTTGTGATGAAATGACGAAATACGGCAGATACTTTAAAAAATTAGTAAAAAAAAAATAATTTATCGGAACGCGAAAAATACATTTTTCTCGATGTAATGATTACGTAATTTTTCGGTCGTACGATTGACGGTATCTGACTAGTATGATTTTTTGTGTGATCGATCTACTTTCAGTTTGGTCACGTAGTCGCACACGAAAGATTTTTTTTTTGATCCTGGATATTATCGTTATAAAGACATCTTTGTATATAATTAATGACTTGAACTTATGCATCAAAAAATTAAAAAAGAATATCAAAAAAGCGAGGCTTATTTTTTCGAAAAGATTGTATAAATATAAATTACTTTATTGTTTCTTTACGATAATTTACGCGTAAAATACATAACAGAGACTTACAATGTTACATCCTCATTTTTTAATAATAGCAGATATTCCATATCACCAAATTTCTAATATTTAAAAGTAACATGCTGTTCAATTCCTTCCTTATTTTTAGCAGTAGCGGACATTTCCACATCAAATTTTAAAGTGAATTTAATTGTATTATCATCTTCATAATTATCTAACTCAGTCAAATTAACTTCCCATTTTCGAAGTAGCTTTACATCTCGTAAATATTTTGCATCGTCTGACACTGGAGTATACATATCAATATTCATTTTTTGTTGACTTAATGAATATGGTTTCAAACACCTGGTAACTTCTTCACCCATTAGAACTTGTTTGCCACTCTCCGCAAGTTTTTCAAAAACTTTTATATAGCCATTTGGAAGTTTTAATTCCAATGGATCAGTCGGTTTCCATTTTCTTACTGCGATAGTACCTAAAGCAAAAACCAAAGAAAGATTTTAAATAATTTCTTTCAAAAAGTAAAAACGAGTTTAACCGATATAGTTAAATCAAATACCATAATCCCATTTCAATACTCGTTTCTTAATGATTCTTGTAAGACCATATTTAACAGCTTATTGTATCGTATTATTTTTATAAAAATTAATATATATAGATATTGTATTGCGAAAACGAAATAAAATTAATAAATCTTATTTACCTCCTTTCATAATAGATACAATAGGTTGTTTATCCACAAAAAACTTTGGCACTTCTTCTTTCGAAAATTCTTGTTTAATTCTATTTTGTAAGTATTTGGATTCACCAAATCCACCCACTAGCAACAATATTGAAATTTTTTTTTCCAACCTTTTCAATTGTTCCAGTTGACCCCTTATTAATTTAAAAATCTCATTTACAACAGGGTCAACCATTTTTTTGACATCGTCATATTCAATTTCGATTAACCAATCATCTTTTTTTAATTTCTCTTCTTCTTCTCCTTTAATATATTTTATTAGTGGTTCATATTCCTCTAAATCTAATTCAAAAGTTGGAAAATCTTCTGGATTTTCCGTAAATCGAAGTTTAGCTTTCCTACAAAATTCTTGTACCATATATTGTAGATAAGAGTTATAATTTTTCTCAAACAGATCCATGGCAGTTTTTCCAACTTTATGACCAAGTAATTCAATAAATGCCTGGTCTATTTTATATGAACCACAATCATCGCCAGTACGAACTGTTATTTCATTTAATTCGTCATCTCGCGTTGTTAAATCTACTGTGCCACCGCCACAATCAACCATCATTAACAAGTCTAATTATAAAAATCAATAAAGAAATTTCATCGAATTTTTTTTTTTTTGCTTAAACATAGTAAATATAGTAAATAAAGAAAAGACATGCTACCTCCTGGACCAAAATTATGTTCTTTTATTAGGTTGTCCATGGAATGAATCGCTGCAGCTTCAGCTTTAATTTAAATAAAAATTTGTGAGAACTTTGAATTACAATGGGATCGATTTACAATTGATTGAGCAAATGCAATATTTTACTGTATATACACGCGCTCTTTGCGTTCACGTGATATTTAACCAATAACATGCTTATAAAGCAAGCCGATTTTTTTTTGCCCGAATTATATTTTTAAACCCATTCAAAATTTAAATTTAAGTTAAACTTACGTTCTGTTGTAAATTTCAAATTTTTACTTTTTTCTGTTGGGATCAATTTCGCATTATAAGCACATTTACGCATAATGTCAATCGCATTATCATCAAATTCTGCAGGAACCTTTAAAAGAGAGAAAAAAAATAATAATTCAAAAAGTATTTCAATCATTTACATAAAATTCAAAAATTAAATTTTTTTCTACCGTGAGTACAACTACAACTTGCTTATCAAAATCCAAAAAGTCCCAATGGGTTTTTAAACTACTTTTAATATCTTCACCTAATTTTTCCAAATAATCTGAAATGACTTTTTTAAAATCCAATCCAACTGGTAATAATGATTTTCCCAATAAATGTAATTTAAACCATTTGAGTGATGGGGTTGAGGTTGTATAAGGTTTTTTTGGTTTTTTTGCTAATGCGGGAAAACCCCACGATTCTACTTTGTCGTAGGAATCATCGTATTTTATGACCGTTGGCGTTTTAAAAATTCCTAAAGATGCATTCGAAGTATCATTTGCTATGATAATATTAGGACTGTCTTTATGAGCATATGCAAATCCCTTTATTTATTTAATTAGTTTTAAAAAATAATATTATATTAATTTGTTTACATTAATGTTTATTAAAATTAAATAAATTCTTACGGAATAGGTAGTTCCAAAATCTGAAATTCGTTAAAATAATTTAGTACCTTCCTTTTGCATTCATATAATGTTAAAAAAAATCATAATAAAAAAAAATAAAATAATAAGTTTAGATTAAACTTACCTATGGCCACCACAACGCGAATGTCATCTGAATACTCCTTTTTTGTTATGCGAATGTCATCATCTGAAGACACCTTTTTTGTTATGCGGATGTCATCATCTAAAGAATCTGAAGACACCTTTTTTGTTATGCGGATGTCATCATCTAAAGAATCTGAAGACACCTTTTTTGTTATGCGAATGTCATCATCTAAAGAATCTGAAGACACCTTTTTTGTTATGCGAATGTCATCATCTAAAGAATCTGAAGACACCTT